CTTTTTCTTTTACTTTTTTTTACCTCCTCTATTCTTGTACTACTTTGTGTATGTGAGAGACCTTTTACCAACCCCATACTGGCACCTCTTATTATCTTTTGTCTACTACCACCTCATCCTACTTCCGACATCCTCTTCTGCCAGGTAGTACCTTTCGAGTTTTTATTATTTTCTTCTGAGTGGCCGGTACAGAAATGGAGAAAGAGATATCATGATGAATTACGGCAATGGGAACTGGGTTTGGCAAATGGCGAAAGGCCATGGGATCACTAAAGATAGCCCTCCGTCTCGAGATGCTGAATCGAAATGAACATTGAAAAGACTTTTTAGGAAGTGAGATTGTGAAACATGGCTGGCGAGATTTCTGGGGTCGGATATGAGGGTGGCAGTTTCATTTGGCAGCCTGACAGATGATATCTCGTTAGGCTGTATTGGCACAGGGGCTAGGGCTGGTGTGATTACTGACCTGGGTGGATGGTTTGCGGTATGTTGTTCCGGCCAGCCACTGTCTTGTAGAATGTTCAACAAAGGTCGGTAGTGAATTGTCAGCTTTTGTTGCTTGAGGCGCCATGTGTCTATCTATAGCTACACAATAGGCCTTGCCCGCTTGCTCGACAAAGATTCATGGCTTGCCGCTCTCGACGCGTGGTCAATAGCCGGGGCAAGTCGCCGCCGACAAAGATGCTTGACCAAATGCCGAAGCTGGGAATAAGGCCACTTGACGTCCAGTCTCCGGAACCCAGGTTAGATGATCCGATGCTTCGGTTGTGCCAAAGACTACAAGGCCATGCCCGCAGCGGTCAGCCTCTGACTTCCTACGCAGCCCATCAAATCCAGCACAGCCCAAACAGGTGCAGCCTGGCTCCGCGTTCCCCGATGTCTCGTGTCCAACCAAGCCGGACCAGACTACCAACATCACGATGGCGTCCCGTCCACCCCACCTAGCTGATATTGAGTCCAACTGCTTTAAACCTCCCCCACACGGACCCTCAACTCCCTCTCCCGCTGCAGCACCTCCAACTCAAGCCTCTCCACGCCATACTTCAACGCCTCCTTGCGCTGCCGCACCACCTTGGCCCGCAGCGCCGCCCCGCCGTCCAGCGCCTTGCCCTTCTTCACCGCACTCTTGGTTTCGGACAGGTCATCTGGCAGGTGCGACAGGCGTCCCGCGTTGAGGTCCGCGCGCGCCTTGAGCGTCTCGATCCGCCGCGCCTGGCGCTCTAGGTGCTTGTCGGCGCGGTCGAGGAGGAGGGCGACGAAGGGGCCGATCTCGTCGCGGAGGGAGGACTCGGCTGCGGCGAGGGTTGGTTGGGGGATGAGTTCGTAGTGCTGGGGCTGTTAGTGAGGTGGGTGTGGATAGGGGGGAGGGGGACGCACCCGGACGGTTTTGAGGACGGAGCTGAGGCGCGGGAGGTCTTCTACGCCGTGGCCGAGGGTTGCGACGGAGGATTCGAGGAAGGAGAGGGAGGTGCGCAGGGAGGTGACGCATTCTGCGTAGGAGGAGGGGTTCGTCATTTTTGGTGATGTTTGTGGGGTGAGATCGGATCTTGGCTGGGTTTGTCTCTGAGATGACGCGCTGCCGTCGCTGATCGCTTTGGCCGGTGTGGGTTTGGTGTCGCTGCCGAAATGATGATGTGCTCGATTGATCGCGTCCCCAAAGTCAACAATCGTTATCGCGATCGCGCTGAGGCGGGGTTCGCTAGCCGATGAAAAGGTCCGTGCGCCACACTGGTGTTGGTGGCCCACGTGTACCCCTGAATTTGGCTGCACGGGCCAAGGGGGGATCTTACCCCTGACCGCAGTTGCCGTTGGTAATTTCCATTCTGCCAGTCGGCCATGCCATGGTGGCATGTGCACTTGAAGGTTGCCTTCGATGCTGTCCAAAGGAGAAGCAATACCAGTGCAGCAGTGTGGTGTTGCGCAGCTTTTCAAGGTCGCGTAGGGCAGCCAGTGACTTGCTTGTAGTCCAGTTCCACTTGCTCTCGAAACGCAACGCAGTACATGCCGTCACAAACACCACACCCGATGGTGTCCTTCAACGCAGCATGGAACAAGATCAATTATGCCGGGCTGAATTCCTTACCCGAGTCTGCGACTCTCGTCGGCACCTTCTCCACATTACATGATTACATCCCCATCAAGTGCTGCTAATTTTGGCACTTGACTCTAAGCCCTCGCTTACTTGCGCCGCTCCGCCTTCCTGGAATCTATATCTGTCAAAATGTTCCCATTCTCGCACTCGCGCATCGTCTCGCAAGGAGGGGGTCATATAACGTGAGATGTGCATCTGCAGCACACCTCATCAATATTTCTCCGACTCTATAATTCCGAGCTAGACTATGGAGTTTACCATCAAGCACGCCAAGTACACTGGGTGCATGTTGTGCATGTTGACACTGAGCGCGTGTAGGGGGCAAGCTGAGACACAGCAAACGACCTCCCAGCCCAGTGTGTACTACTGTTGCATCCATCACCTGAACCCAACCAACACCTTGAACTCCTTCTCCGTGACCCCCCTCTCTGGCCCTTGGGTCACAGACACGACATTATCAACACAAATGTCAAACTTACTCTCCCGCTCAGGCCTATCGCGGCGCAGCACCCGGCGCGTCTTGTCCATCAAGGACTTGATGTCGGCAACGTCGCTGCGCAGCTCCGCCACCAGCTCGGAGACGCTGGGGAACTTCGGGCCTGTGAGCGACTCCACCCTCTTCACCGCCTCCAGTGTCTCGTCGAGCAGTTCCAGGGGCAGGCCCTCGTCGACCGTCCTTTCCACCTCGCTCATGAGCGTGTCGATGGTGTTAACATAGCGCAGCAGGTCGGCGGCGAATTTGAGAACCCCCTCGTCAGCGGTGGCTAGGATCGGTTTCTTGGAGAGGGAGGCGCCGGCCCGGGCGCGGGTGGTGTTGGATTTGATGTCGGGGAAGGCGGTGGCTAGGGCAGCGAGGGTGAGGAGGGATGCAGGGAGCTGCCAGAGGCGGAGTTTCATTTTGGAGAGAGGTGCTAGTTGCTAGAGGGGCAAGTCTCGGTGGCTCGAGTCAAATGGTGGCTCTCTTGGTGCAGTTTATCTCACCGGTAACATTAGTGGAAGAATCGTTCGTTGAGACCTGTCGGGCTCGATGACGAGAGGGGTGCTTTGTTTATCCCCACCTAAGTCCATGTCAACGAAATCCAGAGGCCAGCCTAGCATTGGCATGCTCTCTGGTGGGAAACAAACAGTAGTGCAGGCATTCCCGGGAGATATGCAAGACAACAAAGACACTGCTGCCTCTGGAATGTCATGTTGCCCCCCGAGACACGGCAAACATGGCTTGGTGTTAGGAAGGAACAAAAGAGAGGCCGTGTTTGACTTCCTCTTGCCCCGTATATTTATGCCTGTATGCACTGACCATTTTCCCTCTGGGCTTTTCAGAGTCAACACACTGACTGATTAGCAGCTTGAAGTTTCAACTCCAATTTCCCAATTTTCAGATAGCAGAAACCCCCCCAAGCACAAGCTTAGGGTGCTCAATGCACAGCCACCGATGTTACACTTTTCCAGGACCTTGTTCAGCGAGAGACCGGCAAACTTCCGACCGAGGGTCAGCCTTACAGTATGCTGTACACTTGCAAGCTAGTGGATGGACTTCATTACAGCTCCCTTTGCCGGAATAGGCGGTGTGTAGCTGTGAAAGCTGAGTCGGAGAGCGAAAATGGGTACTGCTGTGGCGACACTATTCCTTTTCCTTCGGGTATTGATGGGTGTGCAAGGATATGAGGGGATGGACACGGGTTCGGTGGTTCCATGGAACAGCTTGCTCATTCCTCATCTTTATTGTCTACCCATCTAAGAAGCGAGGAGTTTGGAAATTACAGGTCGACGAGAACAGCAGGTTGCCTTCCACCTATGGTTCATAGAAACTTGGACAAGTGCCGAGCTCACCTCCCGGGCGCCAACTCGACCTCTTCACCAGTGATAGTGCTCTTCTCCGCATCTAATAAGCATGTAACTACACCGCCGTGCTCAGTCCACATGCAGTTCAAGTCTATGTCGCTAGTTCCAATAATGTGAAGCGGTCTGCTGCCATGTCAGCGAGGTGATGAACCCATCTCTGTAACCGGATTTGAAACCTACGCTGTCCTCCCAGGGCACTCGACCACTTTATCGAGGAGAAGAGTCAGGGAGCCCGCCCGGACCCCGACATGAACGGTCAGGTTGGTGTCGCTTGGTGTTCCAGTAATGATGCAACGGTAGTTGACCTGCAAGTTACATGCCAACTCATCGCTTGTGCCGCTCAGATCATTGGCGAGCTTGAAGGACGCCTTGCCGCCCGAGCCAACCGTGTCGTTGACGACGCTCTTGAAGTCGGTGATTGTCCAACTCGGGAAAGTAGTGCAGTTATCGGCGTCTCCCGTCGGCGCGGCGAAGGCCCCGACAAGGAAAAGGAATGGGGCGATGAGCGACGACAGCATGGTGAGCAAGGTTTAGTTTCAGTCGGAATGCTGCCGATTTGCCATTGCAAGGAGAGGAGGAGTATTTGAGACAGATAACTGCATTCGCATTGTAGCGAATAAAGGTGTACTTGATAACCTAAATAGCCGCGCGTTTTTCATCTGCCGCGTAATATACACGGCCACCGGGCCCAGCTTAGGCTCATCTAAACAAGCTCTTCCCGTATATTATAGAAGCCCCCACTCGGAGCTTTCATGATTTCTTGGAAAATTGCCTTTGATGGCTTGTTGGTGGGACCGACCAAGTCAATAACCGAAAGAAGCTATTCGCAGGCCCAGATTCCATAGACTCCTCAACGCCAAGAAGATTGAAAGTCTGGTCTCGATCCACACCTCAACCCAAGCCACCCTTTCCCCACTCTGCATCAGCTAGACCCCATCAAGGCTGATGCTAGACCAGTTTTTCAACAAAAGTCAAGTGCGGGCGTTTGGTTGAGTGGTATTGATGTTCAATCTACGGCGTCCAATCTGCAACACCTCCCTCTACAATGAATGTCAACATTCAGAAATCTTCCGTAGTATAGTGGTCAGTATATGAGCTTGTCATCTTGCCTTGCCTCCTAGGAGATTAGGAAGGACATCGCTCGGGACCCGGGTTCAATTCCCGGCGGGAGAGAAATATGGGGTGTTGTGTTATTTTTGCCCATCGGGGTTAGGGTTACGAGCCATCTGCTCTGAGTCGGTGATCTTGGGACACGACTTTCTCCAGCAGTCTCGGTGTGTACTCATTTGATGCAGTATTCAGTAATCTGTCACAAGACACGATGTTCAGCTCGCTGATGGCAATGCAAATCTGATGTTCCAGACCTCACTAAACCATTAGCGATAAGTGTCACGTCATGGAGCTGCAACCCAATTGGCTGCCGACCTCACCACTGTCTCCTGATTTGTCCAAGCCCAGATTCGGCTGTATCACAGGCTCCCCAAATGAACCGAATGAATTGTCATGGTATATTTAAAGACAGGGAACTCGATGCAACTAAAAGGATTCCTTGTTCAATAAACCACAATCGCACAAAAACTTTGAATCACATCAATCATCAAACTCACTTCGCAACAGGATGAGCACCCACTTCACCTCACACAGCAGACCACACTCGCCAGGCCTGATCGGTGATCTCACCCAAAATGCCAACTTGGGTGAAGACATCGAACTTGTCGTCGGCGTCACTGCGGCAGCGCTTACAGCCGACCAGCTGTACAAGCTGATGATGACCAAAAAACACAAGACAATGCATCTGGTCAAGGCCGGCCTCAGCGCCACCGTTGCTGGCGCATCCTTTGCCATGATGCTCCAAGAACACCACGAACACGAGAAGAAGGGCAGGGAACGAGGACGCTCGCGATATCGCAACAGCGATTTTGAGCCCAGGGAGGATAAGGCCGTCTCCTATCATGGGAGGAATGACCACTTGGCAGACGACGATGACTATGATGAAGCCCTTGTCCGGGCACGACCTTCCAGACGGGGTGCATCATATGACCACTACTCCCACCGCGAGCGAAGTCTCTCTCCGACTCTCAGCCCGCCACGACGGCGCGCACGATCACAGTCTTTGCACCACCACAAAAAGCGAGGACACAGCACCCCTGGACTTTTCAAGTTCATCGCCAAGGAGGTAGTCAGAAATCTGGGCTCCAGTCACACCCATTACTACTGATGACTTTGGGCCCGGATGTAACTATTCTGTGGCGATATTATCACCTGAAAGTCACCTGCATCTAACAAGCCCTCTTTGAGAATCCTACGCTAATATCACACCATGCGGCCACCATGTCAAGTCTCATCACCCACTCCCAACAATTCAAACAGCATTCCGCCAACTTCTTTCCTTTGGCGCTGGACACACGACCTCATCACCACTCATGCCTCAAGTCACATCACTCCAAATCAGCCTCGAGACCCAACCCCGCACATATGCCCCCTTTTTCGGGGCTGTCCTCGCCATCGAGGTCTTTGACTTAAACTCCCTCCTCCAGGGGTAGAGGTTGAGTCACCTCATTGGCCATACCATCGGCGCCCCTTACCAGACGCCCGCCCGCTACAACTAATGCGAATACAATGTGATCGTACAGTGAAGAAGAGGGGGGTGGCGGTGGTTAATGCGGTGGACATGGTGAATTGTGAGAAACGGAGCTACCTATTCTTATATGCAGAATTGGCGGATCAAGAGGCGTAGAGTCCGAGTCCAAGAATGGCTGTATTTGAGGGAAGGGGACGGAAGACGAAGTGGTGTTGTCTCGAATGGGGTACCCATGAACCTTACGCAAGATACTAACGACATGGATGAGGGCTGGGATGGCTACGTCTATTATCCAATACTTCTTTGGCGAGTGGTAGTATAATGAACGGGTTTGAAGTTGCTTATTCTGTGATACTTACGTTGCCAAGATTGGCACCCGTTGTTTACGGCTAGTCTACCAACATCACTATCAACAGTTGATTTATCTGAGATGTTCAAGCTAACATTGTGTTACTGGCACTATAACAGCAACATGATGCAGCGGAATGTGTAGATACTTTGGTACCTTACATCAGTCTCGTAGTTTATAGTCGTGATTAGGCACATGCAGCTCAAAGCACACGGCACGCCCGCATACAGGCTTTGATTACCTTAACCTGGATGGAGACGTCTTTGAAGTGTTTTAGTCGTATCGGTGAGACTATGAGTGCTCATGTTGAAGATTTTGAGCCATTCGATGAAGATACCTCTATGCTCCTTTCCATGTCTCTCAAACTGAGGCTTTAATTGACAGGGAGCTGAGTGTGGATGGAGGTGTGGGCATAAGGAGCCGAGTGTGGTGTGCAGGAAGTTGTTGTCGATGAGGATATGCGCGGGATATCACATCGGCCTCCATCGCCGAGAGGGCTCGCTGAGCCGCCGTCGGCGTGCCGCCCGGAACACAGGAGCTGGGCCCGACTGGACTCCAAGGAAGCACTAACCGCAAACAGAATTTCGAACGGTCAAATATCGCGTGTTTTCAGTAACCCTAACAGAGAAGCCCTCAATGTCACAAAATATCGCATCGTCGCAGGGTTCTCACAAAAGATTTTGAGTTGAAGAAAAAAAAAAATCTCGCCCTGCGCTTCCTTTCTCTTTTCCCAAACACGCAGCACCCAACCAGTGCAACTTCGATCTTTTCTTTTTTTCTCCCAGCAGCAAGTCACGCAGCTTGAGCCTTTCCTTGTTTTTCTTTGAACCGCATATCACGAAACAAGCCAGCCACCAAGCACCGCAGCTTGAGCCTTCCCGTGGAGTTGTCATGATCCCGAACGACGCAACTTGGACCTTCCCGTCGAGTTTCGAGCTGTCTTGATCCCGAACAACAAACAGCGCAACTCGGGCCTCCCCGTCTTAACACGGACCTCCTTGTCGAGTTCTTTCAGTTCCGAACAGCGAAAAGCGCAATTTGGACCTTCCCCACAAGTTGTTATTCCGAACAAGAAACAGCGTAACACGGACCCCCCGCCGAAACACAGAACTCCCCGTTGAGTTCTTTCAGTTCTGAACAGCAAAAAGCGCAACTTGGGCCTTCTCTTTGAGTTTTTTTTCCTTTCCTTCTCCCGAACAGCAAGCAGCGCAACTCCAGCAGCTTGAGCCTTCCCTTGTTTTTCCTCCGATCAGCAAATCACGAAACAGCCAGAAGTAGCGCTTGGACCTTCCCGTCAAGTTGTCTTGATCCCGAATAACAACTTGAAACAGCGCAACTCGAGTAGCTTACTATCCATCGAGCAGCGCTTGGACCTTCCCGAGTTGTTGACTCCAATCAGCAAACAGCGCAACTTGAGCCTTCTCTTCGCAACTCGGACCGTCTCGCAACTCGACCTTCTTTTCTTCTCGCCTCGCAACTCGACCTTCTTTTCTTCTCGCCGCCAACTAACGACCAGCATCACCATCAGCAACATGTCTGCTCCGTCGACCATGATTACCACGGCCGGACCGATCAAAAGGCTCCCCCGAGAGGTCATGACCAAGATCTGCGAGGCCCTATGCCCTCACTGTGCCGGGGAGGACGTCCTCTACATGACGCCCCATGCTTCATTTGCGGGTCGGCGAGGGCTTGTCAACCTCTGCCTGACATCCAAGTTGTGGCGTGCTGTAGCCTTCCGGGTCCTCCACCACATCTTCCAGAGCAATGTGGGATGCCTGCCCCGCTTTGTGGAACACCTTGCCGCCAACCCCTACCTCGCTCTGGATGTCCGGGCCATCCAGCTCCACCGAGCCGAGTACGATGCGCCAGTCGTGTATCCGCAGAGCATGATGGCGGTGCTGCGGGCCATCATGGGATCGAACCGAAGCTTCAACATGCTTCGTTCCGACTTTGTTGCGTTGCCAGCGGTGGCAGATTCTTTGTTGACTCCGGTAAGTTATTCATCCTCATTCCCTGTTCACGGGCCTCCCCCTGAGAAACAACATGTTGTGCTTGTTGACGCTCCTTGTGCACGGGCCTCCCCCTGAAAAAGACTCAAGCTGATCTCCAACACACAGGACAACCACGCCCTGGTTCGAATGAGCGCCGTCGTCCTCTTCTTCCTGGCCAAGCGGGTTGAGCAAGTCGCCATCTTCCACGACTGGCCGCTCTGGGCATTTGCGCAATTTGCTGCTGCCCCCGACAACATCGACGCGCGTGTTTCTTCGGCGAAGCGCCTCCTCAGCCTGAACAAGCTGGCATATGAGCATCATGCAGCTTCACCTAGCTTTGGCGGAACTCACGTGGCTCCAGCCAACCTGGCCTATCTCAGCACCGTCTTCACCCTGGCCCCGAACATGGCGCATCTGCACACGACGAGGGCTGCCAATGGCCACTTGGCGCAGCCCCTGGGCAACATTGACCTGCACCTGGGTAAGCTGACGACCCTGTCCTTGACTGACGCCGCAATGGACGACCGTGACCTGCTCCAGGTTCTCAGGTCCGCCACCCCGGGCGTCCTCAGCAAGTTCAAGTACACGGCAGGCTTCGTGCAGGCGTTCATGCCAGGCAGCCGAGTCGCCGCCCACCTCGCCACCACTGGCCACGCAGCTCACTTGACCCACCTGACTCTCTTGACATCAGACAATGCGGAATACCGCGGTGCAATGGGAGCCTGGCGCGACTACCGACGCGGTCACGCCCCCTCCCCGACCATCCACGCCCTCGCAGGCACCTTCCCTGCGCTCAGCCACCTCACCATCTCGGCTGAGAACGTGTGGTACCCGACCTTCTCGCCCGGCTTCATGAACTCGGACCACAAGGGAGGCCCCGACCGCCTGCTCCAGTTCCTGCCGCGGGGCATCAAGTTCGTCCGGCTGGTGGACGTGCACGCGGCGCCGGCGGCGGAGCTGAAGACGCTGGCCAGCTCCTCGGGTCAGAACGGCGGCACGGTGCTGCCGCGGCTGAGGCGGGTCGAGCTGGTCGCGGACCCGCGGGTGGCGGGGCTGAGCTTCATGGCGCCCGGCGAGCCGTACGACTACACGTACGGCGAGGAGGCCGGGGTGGAGGAGGTGGGCGAGGACGAGGAGGCCGAGGCCCAGAAGGAGGCGGAGCGGGCGCGGGTGGCCATCGAGGCCGGGTTCCGGGCGAGGGGGATCGGGTACGACTTCGACGCGCCGTATCTTTACTGGGGGGAGTAGCTGG